CATTGGGTTTCATTGACAATTTGTGAGGAACCAGAAGCTAATATTGTTGAATTGCCCTCCTGTTTTCTTGTGGAATATTCCACTTCCAGCAAAACCGAAGAAAATTACGAATTTTCTTTTTCCTTGTATGGCTCAACATATGATCCAATTAAATTGGAATTGGCTCCAAAACCAATAAGCTGGCAACCTAGCATACAACATAGTAAATTCAGTAGCAAAGTGGCACTATGCTATCTCAAAAAGTCATATATCAAATGTCAGAAGTTTTGTTTTCTCTGTAGTGGTAAAGCCAAAATAAAGAACCCCACAGCTAGCCAAATTGCTTTCTCTGTAAATGTGGCCATCCACCACTTTCCTACATATCATTCAAATTGCTTTCTTTCTTTACTATTATAAGTAGTGAGTATGGTTTTCCCAACAGATATATAGTGGTCTATATTCGAATATAAGGACTTGGTGAAAATTAGACTACTGCCATATAAACTTTGCGTCTCAAGAGTTGTTCATTATAATTTATATTAGTTCTGCCCCTAAAATGCATTGCCGTGTAAGAACATGTTGCTGTGTTAGTTTTATTACCATCTTCAAGAGATGTTTGGGGCTTACATTTAGACTGGCAAACAAATGAAAATAGAGCTTGAAAGAACAAAACTGGAACTAAAATGCGTCTCTTGTATTTCAATTCACATTAAACTTCCATTATCCATCTCAAGAGCTCTAGCCAAATTGCTTTCTCTGTAAATGTGGCCATCCACCACTTTCCTACATATCATTCAAATTGCTTTCTTTCTTTACTATTATAAATGGTGAGTATGGTTTTCCCAACAGAGTGGTCCATATTCGAATATAAAGACTTGGTGAAAATTTGACTACTGCCATATAAACTTTGCGTCTCTTGTATTTCAATTCACATTATACTTCCATTATCCATCTCAAATTTTTCTAACTTGTGTGGAATCTCTCCCTGCAGACTCGAGAGCTGTTCATTATAATTTATATAAGTTCTTCCCCTAAAATGCATTGCTTTGTAAGAACAAGTTGCTGTGTTTTATTATCATCTTCAAGGGTCATACAGAATTGGAAGCTCAATGTCCTTATAAGAGATGTTTGGAGCTTACATTTATAATGACAAACAAATGAAAATAGAGCTTGAAAGAACAAAACTGGAACTATCTTTTCACACCATAGAGGGCAAGATCCAAATTGCTGGTGGCATGTGCTTCTGTGAACGATCCAAGCAGTAATGTGTTCCCATGCTTCTGTTTTCCAAGTTGAAGACACCCATATCATGAGGCCCTTTAGGTTTATGGCATTCTACATCCACACAATCATCAGTGAAGTATATGGAATTTGGCTGACAACCTGGAAAGTCCAGCGCAGAGACACACATGGATTGATTGGTACCCAAAAACAGAGCTTCATTTCCAATACTTTCAATCTCAACCCATTGGGGTCTCTCCCCATGAGCACAGAACAGCTTGAAAACCTTGAAGCTCAGAGTCTCCGTAAAACGATCATAACCATTTACTCGTTCAAACTTTTTTTTTTGGACGAAAAGGAATTTCATTTAGAGGCAAAAGCCACAAACAGAAACATACAAACTAGGCCAGCACACACTCAGCCAAAGCAAAACAAATGAAAATAGAGCTTGAAAGAACAAAACTGGAGCTATCTTTTCACACCATAGAGGGCAAGATCCAAATTGCTGGTGGCATGTGCTTCTGCGAACGATCCAAGCGGTAATGTATTCCCATGCTTCTGTTTTCCAAGTTGAAGACACCCATATCATGAGGCCCTTTAGGTTTATGGCATTCTACATCCACACAATCATCAGTGAAGTATATGGAATTTGGCTGACAACCTGGAAAGTCCAGCGCAGAGACACACATGGATTGATTGGTACCCAAAAACAGAGCTTCATTTCCAATACTTTCAATCTCAACCCATTGGGGTCTCTCCCCATGAGCACAGAACAGCTTGAAAACCTTGAAGCTCAGAGTCTCCGTAAAACGATCATAACCATTTACTCATTCAAACTTGAAAAACTTGAAATTGAGAGACTTACAATAATTTACTCGTTTGAACTTCCTAACCAGCAAAAGATCTCCCTGGAATGATTGCACAAGGTATGTTTTATTGTCAGTGCCTGGATCCATTGGCACAAGTAAGCTTACATAGGGTTTAGTAGTTTGATCCCTGCTAACATTCATCGAAAAAATACTACCACCCAAACTAACACCTAGAAACTGACCTTTATAATAAATTACATCATCGAATCCGATCACTTGATCTATGCTAGTCCAAGCATCATCCCCTGATTTAAAATGGGCTATTTGTTTCCCATAGCCATCATAGATGACCAATACTTCATAGTCATTAGGAAGAAAAGAAGGGTCTGCTTCTCCAAGTTGATTTGTGGACTGGTGGAAGGCTAATGGTATGCCCGGTAAAAGGGTTTAAGAGGGTAACTACTAGATTCTCATCCACACAGGCCAACCAACCATGGGAAGAACCGCAGAGCCTTTTATTGTAAGGCACATGCAACTCAAAGCTGCAAGTCTTACCTTGTGTCACACTATTCAAGCCACGCCTTTCGCTGCTACCGTGTATGGTGGGAATTATGAGCATAGGAATCTGCTTGTGACATGATTTGATGCGCTGCTTCATACTATGTAAAGCGACTGATTGCCAATGCTTGCAAACTGCACTAAATCGGATATAGTTAGAGATTGGGAACTTTTCTAGAATCAAATCCAGAATGTTGCTTGGAAGCCCAGCTTGAAACTAAGGTTGGGGCATCTTCCATTGTGCTACATTTGACTTATTTAGGTGGCTAGCTTGGAATTGGTTTTCATTGACAATTTATGAGGAATCAAGAGGCTTTCCTTAGGCTACAGTTCCTCAGGCATGAACATTGGTGAGCTGTCCTCCCCAGTTACGACATTAGAATATTCCCCCTTTCCTGCAAAACCGATGAAATTGTGATTGTTTGATATACGGTCATGTTTGATTTAGAATCCTTTTCCTTGTATATAAGATTCAACATGGGTCATGTCTAATTTAGAATTTTAGAAGGTTCCAAAAGTAGCAAGAAGAATCATAAGCCTGTGACATAATAATAAATTAACTAATAACTAGCTTCACTGCATAAGGTTGGAGACGGCATCATAAGCCGATCGAAAAGCTCCCTCTACCCCGTCTGTGTAGAGAGGTCCATCAAAGACAAGAAGAATCAACTAACCGACTAGGCCAAATCTTTTGTCCCCAAATCTCCATCCATTCACCCCACCCCTAATCACACCAATCCCAACCCTACACGTGACGTGGGTCACCATTTCCACAGTAACCCTTCATTCTCAATCCAGCCTTTAGTCAACGAAATCTTCTTCCCCTTCTGTCTCTAAACATAAAACCTCTGATTTGTCCTTCTGCCCTTGGTCTGAGAACCGAGCAGAGTGCTCTGTTTTCAGTCCAAACAGAGATTGGAAAATGAAAACAGAGGTTGTGACATTTTTGTTGGTGAACCTAGCAAGTAGTATGCAGAGAGCTGACGAGTCGTTGTTGCCAGGGGTGTACAAAGAGGTGGGGGCCACTCTGCACACCGACCCAACTGGGTTGGGCTCACTCACTCTGTTCAGATCCATTGTCCAGTCTGCCTGCTACCCACTTGCGGCTTACCTTGCTATGCGCCACAACCGAGGCCATGTGACCATGTCATTGCTCTTGGTACCTTTCTCTGGGCTGCTGCCACCTTCCTTGTTGGCTTTCCACCCACTTTCCTTCAGGTCTCTCTCTCTCTCTCTCTCTCTCTCTCTCTGGTTTCTTATTTTCTATGGTGTTTTCAAGTTGCAACTTTCTTTTCAAAAATGAAATATGGAATAATTATTTTGGTCATCTTTGAGGATCTAAGAGAACCCATGATTTGGATTGGTTAGTTTAGTTAGGCTAGTGATTTTGTTACTGTTTTATGTTGAGTTGTTTCTCAAATGGGCAATACAAAATGTTGTTTCATGTCTTGTCCAATTATGTTTTTGGGCAACTGTGGAGTTCAATCTTTATTGGTGGCTCAATGGACAGGGATTTTATTGGTATCAATGCTTCAAATTAAGGATTTGGGGGGAAAATCATTGACTCGGCAAACTTTCAAGTTTGAAGAGAGCAACCGGGGTACAGCAAACTTTCAAACTTTCTGATGGATGTCCTTTTTACAATAATGGGGATTCTGGATAGTTTACAATTAGAAAAGTTTTGAGGAATCAAACACATTGATGTACAAGAGCATAGAAAAGTAGGACACTTTAAGGAATTCAAAGCAACAATCTAAATGGAAGATGATGCCATGGAAGATATAAGTTTGAAGAACCACTACATTTACAAATAGATAACTACATTTATTTAATAAATTACATTACAATTTCAGAAAGCCAGTATGATCTTCAACCACTAGCGAGGATGTGGTTCAGTAAAAGTCTCATATTCCATTACTTTGACAGAGTTACTCTTGGATCGATCTGACCTCGCTACCTCTGAATTATATTCAGATTGTAACGGCATGTCCGATCCAATGCTGCTGTGCAAATAAAATGCAGGTTGGGGGGGCACTGGGAGAGTGAGGGAGTAGCTATTCGTCATGAGAATAACAGATGCCATGGTTGGCCTATCAGCCACATTTTCTTGCACACATAATAATCCAATGTGGATGCATCTCATTATTTCTGTTCTTGAACCAGTATTCAATGTGGGATCTATTAGATTTGAAGCTGTCCC